GTGATTCTTAGAAAATAGACTTGACAAGGAATGACAATAGCCAAAAATATTCTAAAATTGAAACAATTTTTTGTTTAGTCTGCTCGCTATATCTGATTCTCTCTTTAAAACCTATATTCCAAAATAAAATGTTAATGCAATGTGATTGTGCGTTGCCCTTATGCAATTGGACAAAAGGTAAAAGGTGTTTTTGTAATGTCATAAGTCTGGATAGTAATCACCGTGGTAATGGAGAGGAGAAATTGAGCTCTATCTAAGGAAACGCATCTCCACCAGAGAAGGTATAAACACCCCTTGTGATAATTGCCCCCTATTCAAACTAACTTCGTTAATGCAATGGCCCTGTAACGATATCATTATACTCAATCAAGGCCATGGGAATAATAATCCACCGGGACCAGAAACATGTTACATCGAGCTCAAACATAACTATTCATTTATAGATTGATCTATATCTTATGCAACTGATTGCGAGATATACACGAAGTAAATCCTAATAACTGTTTATATTGAACATATTATGCTTGACTTAATATTTATAATATGGCTGTAGCGTAACTGTAACATTTCTCTTGTTAATACAACTTTCAAAGGGATGACATTGCAGACGTGCACTACGTTTAACGTAACGTATACGTCACTATACGGCTACTTTAGATAATTATTCACTAGAAACTTTTCATGTGGATGCAATTTATTGTTAAATTAGTGCTTTTTTCATTTTGTTTATTTTTGTCACTTTCATGTATCATATGGATTTACTATTAGAAATGGCCTACATTTTGACTTAGTCTTTCTTCAATACTGTGTACCACATGCACTCCATCTTTAAAATATAAGAACACGGGGGTAAACAGACAAGACTAGATCCTTCTACGATTGATCCATTGCTCTGTAAGTGTCTGAAGCTGGTCAACATGGTCTTGGGTTTGTCAGATTTGCGTATTTTCCAATGTATCTTAATTAAATTCTACACAACGAGTGCAATTGCCATTGACTGACATGCAATACAATGTCATTTGCTGGAAACCTTTTTGAGACTATGAAGAATCGAGATGATATCTTGGGCACAACTGAATAGATCAATCAATCAAAAGGCAAAATCAATACCAATAAAACAATCTAATGATTGCTAGTGAATCGACCAAGCCCGTTTTACGTTGTTGAAAATACCAAATACTAATAATATTTAAAGGCAATCTGATTTTTGAAGAAGGGCAAACTTTGGCTATGCATGTTCATGGGTATTAAAACAATTGTTCTACAACACTGAAACGTTATTGGAGTTCATAAATTCAACTTATATGTAATAAAAATACAGGGTGAGCCAAAAAGGTAACCCAAACAAATCTTAATGACTCACTTATCATGTATGGATTTTAAGTCTTTTTTTGCCTGTTGGTACAAATGAAGCCCGTTCAATTTTTTTTCATTCTAGAAAATGTCATCGGTTTATTCCAAATGGTAAAAATGTTATGGCTATTTTACAAAACATACTCAAACTTCCCAAAACATGTCGAAATCATTGAAAGTTATTTGAATGAAAGAACATTGAACAAGGTTTAATTGTGCTAAATATGACTGAGTTATTAAGATTTGTTTGGGTTACTTTTTTGGCTCACTCTCTACATTAGAGGAGAGAGGTTTCGCTTATGTTTTAAATACGTTTTTAATTGCAAACCTCATGTAACTAGTAAAAAAGAGGCATAATTAGTCAAAATCTTTTCAATAACACGTTCAGAACGCACAGGTTTCGTTATAAAACCGGTTTACAATTTTTATCAATTCAAAACGAAATTCTTCCCAGTTCTGTTCTCCGACACCAATGGCATTCAATGTGCCAATTAGATTGAAATCGAATTTTCATCACGTTTATCAAAAACTACAAATAGTCTGAATTCTCATTAATTCTAAAACATCCACTATCGTCTATAATCTTCGAATTCCACCCGAGTCCATCTAAAAATACAGTTTTGATTATTTCTTTTTTGATTTGTCATACCGTCGGATATAGAAAGCTCGAAGATAGTCAAGATACAATGAATTGAAGTTGCATAATCAACGCAATAAGAAAATTCAAATAGGCGAATTGCCTAGTACTGTCAATGAATGGCGGGGAAGAATTCAGTGGTTAAAACATGTAAAATTACCTGAAAAGTTTTCAAATATAAATCCCAGGGAAAATATCAAAAACCTCTGATATTGAAACTTGAAAAAAGTAAGGAAGATATTTAGATAATATGATAATTTTTCTTATTTTAAAAGAGCAGATAAGCATAGAGAAGCCAAGAGGAGGAAAGTAGCGAAATCCTATTTTGTCGTGGCTCCGATTGTTCAATACAGTTATAACCCAAAAATAGCCATGCTTGTTAAATGTAGATCTCATTCGAACTGACTCACCGCGAACTATGACAATGGCAACTGATACTTTGTTATTCTTAATAGGAAAGCATACATACTTTTACTATTTTACTGCATTTTCTGCGTCTAAATAATTCCCAGAAGAGCCCTCCCTATTTTTATCACGTTCAAATGGATTTTTTAGCGCGGAATTGTAAGTTGCCATTTTATTTTACGACGAAAATAATTCCAAAAATGTCAGTGCAAGCATTAAGTATGTAGTCTTATAGATTTAGCAACTGTGTCAGGGGATTATTAGTGGTTAGAGAGGGATTCGCAGAACCCGGCTTGTTCGGTTCTAAGCGACACATCCACTTCGATTTTATATTAAACACGTTTTAGAAATGCGATGATTTAAACAAAGGGAAGGAACGATTACTTATCAAACTGGCATTCATCCCTGTGGTACAGTGTCAACTGAGAGTCAATTTATACAGTTCCATAAACTTAAAACATTTTGACAATCATTTAAAACGTCAGTTGTCAATGTGAAGCTGAATAATCTACGTGTCACTACCATCGATGTGTATTTTGCGCAATAATGTATTGTATTGTATTGTATATTCTTTATTTCCTCCATTAAATGAAGATTACAATTTAACATTTTAACTTAACTCAAAATTAAGGACAAATAAAATAATAATAATAAATATACATTATTTACAAATATTCCAGGTATTTACATATTTAAATGTAGTACAGCATGGTTTAGGATATAATCTATTTTCACCGCAGATACTATTAAAAATTGTTGCCAAATGCAATCATTACAATCAAATAACATATCTGTTCTGCTACCTAAAATAGTTTCAAGAAATATCTCATCATCAGTATTAAATAACGCCACTGAGTCAACAACTCCTAATGTATCAACAACAGCATTAAATAGATTATCTCTTTCTTGAAATAGTACTTGACACTGTAATAATATATGTTTTGTGATGTACACACATTGAATATGAACATTGAATTAATTATATTCGCCAGTTATAATCATAATCATTTTCACTCGACTCTAGCTAGGGGGGATTTCCTTGTACTATATTGTATTGCCGGAATTTTATATTCAATGAGTTGATTGGCTTTCGTACTCAGACACTAGGTTTGAAGTATCACTCGCGAAATATACTGTGTGCCTTGACGTTATTTAGTGTCGTTACATGTTCTACATCGCACCAAACGTTCTTTCACTGAAATAATAGAGAAGGTTAGTTAACACTATTTTTAAGGAAATGTAACATTGTGTTGCCCTATGAGAATGAAAAAAGTTGATATACGAGGATCACTGCACCCTTGTGCACAGCCCCAAAAGAATTGACTTACGTAAATTCATTCCAGGTGTTAATAAAAAGTAGTTATTCACCAGGAGGGACTTGATAGGGGAATATCAGATTGATGATATCGATATCGATATCATCGAGGGATATTACCCATATCATCCCGACGAGTGAATAACGACCGTATACCATGTTCAAAAAATTACTTTTTTGAAAAGTGAAACATTTTGAAAAAATGAAAGATTTTGGAAACATTTTGAAAATGAAAACTTTTGAACAAATGATTTTTTGGGGATCCTGATATCATCACTCTAATCTTGATATCATCCCTGATATCGTCCTTGTCCCAAATATGTGATTTACGTCGAAGTTCTCCCAAAGTGCGTGTAACTTCAAGTTCTTTGGCACCAAAAGATGCTGGTTGCCAACATTCTTCATTTAGCATTATCCGATTGCTTTCTTGTAACTATGTATGACCTCGTGTTTATTTTAGGTGCAGTGGGACATCGGCCGTTTTGAATGGTGGTTCAGATGGGAACTCGCACATGTTATCATTAGTTCCTTAGGGGAGAGTGCTTCTCGGATATAACACATATTTAACTCGATATAACTATTTTTCCATAGAGGTATTTATTCAAGATTGAGAATTATATGTTTGAACAAATCGATGGCAATGATTACTATTATTACCCCATAAGATACACCGTTACGCGTAATTATTGAACATTAGTCATTTTTCTTTCGATTTAATTAATTTTAAAGTTCACTAGAAATGTCCAATTTTTGTTAGCGTTTTGTACAGATTATGTAATGTTTTAAACAAAATAAGTTATGAAGCAAATACTGTAGTAACTTTGCATTCGTTTAAGTTAGGTCCTTAAAATATTGCATCTACGTAGACCTAACTTTGTCCTCGGGTTAATAATACTAGCATACCTTTCGTTGTACCAGTTTGCAACATTATTCACAAACCGACACAAATATTATCCTGTAGTAGGCTCATTGGTCGCTATTTCAATAAATTGTGTATCAACTGCATTGATGTCAAACTAGTATGGAACATCATAATATATATTATATAGTGTATTGGACATGTATACTATATATAAATAAGATGTTTTGGTGAATGGTCGTTTAGTATTTAAAAGCAGATATTTTTTGTCATGAGTCCTTTCAATTTAATTGTATGCATATATTTTGCAAGTATGTTATAAAACACATAAACTCAAAGGGATAGTTCTTTTTAAGAACAGGTTTCATCCTGTTTAGCCTTGTTCCTCATCATTTACAAAAAATGTACAAAACCTGTTTTTCTTTTTTCAGTTGCCTGAGAAAATGTCGTCATCACCAAGGCAACGAGCGAACTTGAGCCGCTGATGCTTCATATAAATCAAAAGGTGTTACCTGGAGTGAAAGAGAATTCACAAAGGTGTCCTGGCCTGTACAGTTGTACAGTTTAAATAGTATCGCTGGCTTGAAAGTAGCAGCGTACATTTGCTTTAGTAAAAGATTATATTGACACTTAAAGACAGTCATCAGTGTCATTTAATGAAAATTAATTGGAAAAATATTTCCATTGTTGGACACTAATTGGGAAACATCGTAAGACATTAAGAGAGAATTATGCCAAGGCGTGTTTAGCGTCTGGAAACGGGACTTCATCTGCTCATGGGTCGATATCATAAGATCCTTTGCTTCTCAATGTTCTGACATACAATTGCAAGTCGAGTCGGCTCAACAAAGATATAAATGTCAATTTATACTATTAGCATCAACAAGGGGACTATATAGTCTAATGTTATATAGCGCTAAATAGCCATCACATAAAGGGGAGTTGGATATTTGACAATGGGAAACGCCCTATGAAATATTCAACGAAATTATAAGCATACACGTCTAAAATCAGCCTCTTCCAGTCGGATATAATCAAATCATTCGTTTTAAAATTGGATCTTACGTAGTTTTTGAAGTAGACAGTAAGGCACGTTAATAGGTTTGGAGTGGCTTTCCAGTATAATTGAAAATGCGGGGACGAATGATTCGCGTGACTTGTTCTGAACGCTACATGAAACAGAATATGCTATGCATAAAGAAGGAAGAAAAGGCCAAATATAATATTAAATGAGTGACCTTTAAGAAGAATTTACATACAGGTGGCAAAGTTGGATATATCCATACCTGGAATGCAATACAGACGCTTCAACGAGCACTTTCGTCTGAGTATGTTCACGGATTTATGCTATGCAAATGTAACGAAGCTATTCTACAGAGGATACGCAAACATTTCAAATGCGGATTAAAAGTCAGTGAGAAACCAAAAGAACATACCTTTAGAAAAACAACATCAAGAATCTACAAATAAGAAGAGTATATTATTAATATTGATAGCTTGTGTACCTGATAGATAAAACAAAAAAGGACATTTCCAAAGTTGACATAAAAAGTAAGACATGCCTTACTTGTAAATGTAAAGACAGATAATCTCAATATCAAAAGTAAACATACAAGTCGAGCATTTACCCATAAGATGGCCTACGGTTGGGTATCACTCATCGGATCTATTCAATAGGAAGGTTTTGCAGTCAACACAATATTTGCATTAGACACGTTGAGAGGAACAGTCTTCGGGCCTTTTATATTGGATACCGTCATAGTACAACAAGTTAATGTGCGATATATTACACACTAACGATGATAATTGAATAGAATGGAAAACAATTATACGCAAGATTAAACGAGTATGTATGGATACCGATTGCATATATGATACATACATATTGTAATATTACATAGTTCTATCATATCTACATTGCGTAGTCTTCACGTGCGAATACATGATTCGCCTCCAGACTTTTAGATACTTAATACGAGCTTAACCGGTCTGTGACTTATTGATATAGGCATATATGGAAGTAAATTGGATTATGCAACGAGAGCGTCTTTCGATCGGATCAAGAACTATACAATAAGTGTTAAGTCGATTTAATGTCTCCCTATTATATTTAGTATTGTACTTAAACTTTCTATCGGATAACATTTAGAGGCCTATTTGACTGTGACTATTTTCGGATCAGCAATTCCAACACACCCAGATTTAATGTTTGGAAGGTCATACTGGATTTACCACAAAGACGTATAACAGTGAACATATATGCAAAAGATAGCTTCACAATAAATCGTAGAACTACCTGTATAAAATAACCAGGTGTATTTTGCCTATGGGTGCATCGTGCCTAATAAGAAACTGCAACTGACGGTTTTATAAGTAAGGAAAATATGATGTATTAAATCGAGAAATCATGCATAGGACTAATTGGAATCGACTGGGTAATCGATATTCAGGTGGGGTAAATATCTAAGGCCTATTCTTAATTACTCCTGTTGGCACAAATTATGTCGGGAATAAAAACATAAGATTTTTCTATTGACCATGACTAACATAGTGCTACAAGAATTAACTTTAGAATTAATGGCTATACGTGTATTATCGAGTCTCTGCAGGTGATATTCCTCAGGAAAAACACTATCAAAGAAGCCGGCTTTCACAACAAATTGTTTTATATGGAGAGTCGTGTCAGGAAAACATACTATGGCGTATTTGAGTAACATGTTATCGCCGAGTAGAACACTAGAACGCGCCTGCGGAACAGAACATACAGCGAAGAATCGCATTTCTATTCATTAAATGCTAAAATAGCATTTTCCCGTCGAGATTGGCTAAACAGTTGTTTGAAATATCTTTGGAGTTAAGATAAACCGAGACAAATGTGATTATTCGGTGAGAATTGCTTGTTTTGTTTTATATCAGTGTTAAGTGGATTAATCATAAACAGGTACATTGTTGTATCTGTTCGTCAGATAGGACTATTTCATTCAATACAGTGTAGTCCTTCCAGCGGAATGGTCGTCAAAGTGTTAATGTGGTGCTTATATGATTTGACTGAAACTTCAAATTGGAGGTATGACCTTGACTTTAGGTCACGTGCACGTCACAAAATGTCAGCTGACACACTTTGTAATTGCAACGATTTTATTCATCATTATAATATGCCAGAAATCTCTAGTGGGCAGTGTTCCCATACGACTTAGGCTATCAACAGGGATTACTAAGGAATCTCATATTGGAATAAGTCCTCAAATGAAAAATGACTCTATGCAAATATCCTGGATTATTCAAATATTTGGAACTCGGACTAAAACCTTGAAGAGTCATCAACGTTTTAGACGAAAAGCAGTTAATTCAACGCTGCCATCTATAAAGGAAGTTCCGTACTCAAATGTCGAAAACGTGTCAGTAAATCAACCCCTTATCGACGTTTCTCCAGTAACTACTGACACACATAGTCCCACTGTAAAGAAAAAGAACTTTACAAACTATTTTCACAATGAAATTGAACTATGCAAAGTTAATTGCCATCCTAGAAAAGACAAATCAGTCCTGTTTAGCAGTAGTTTAAACTTGGTAATAATACCGATATTTGCTTTCCTTTTCTTCTTGTTCTTCTCGTGTCTGAGGTGCACACGTTGGTGGAAGGAAGACGTCTGGTATGCAGACATGAAAGATTACCAAAAACTTGCTGAAGAGGCTATTAAAAGATACAGACTTCGTTCCCAGATTTACAGGCGTATGTCGCTCCCTCCAAGTTTACGCAGTGCCGCTTCGTTAAGAGAAGCCCATAAAGAACAGATCCGCCAATGGATGGAGGCAGAGAGAATTGGGCAAAGTGTTGAATGTGATAGTGACAATGAAAGCAATAACGACACTCACGCCCATGTACATATAAACCCTCTACCCCAGGTTAAGGATATAACACCCAGGGGATTGCGTGCCAGTATAAGCTTTAATGATTTCCTTAAAGCTAATAACCAAGATGTTACAACTGACTTGATCAATAGTAATGATTCCTTCGGCGCTGGTGACAATATAGATGGTAATGTAAATTCTAGCATGTCTATGCATTCTCATATCGAACCATATTCAGATTTTCCTGAGCCTCAGCTTTGTCTGTCAAGTACTCCGACCTTCAATGAATCTAAACCAAAGCTCAAAGGAATACTTAAGCTCTCGGAGGAAAGCAATTTATTTATGTCCGATATGCCATTTAACAGAAGTGATTCCGTGTTAACAATGGGTTACGTACCTCCTCCCCCGAATTTTACAGATCATCGACACCACGGGAAACACGGGGGAAATTCCCAGAGGAATTCCCCGAGAAGTTCTCCGCGAAGTTCTCCAAGGGTTACCCCTCATACCTCACCACGTCCTTCCATTGACTATAGGAGGAGCTCCTCCTTACGGGAGAACATTCCCGGGATGATTCCACTCCGGAAACGCCATTCGATTCACCACAGCCACTTGCGTTCGAAACAACTACTTAAAGAAATGGACAGAATGTCATCTAGCTCCCCTAATCGCCATTCTACTGAGAATTTACTCGCTGCAAAAACAGCAGAAAAAATTCGAACCGAGAAAATCAAAAGGCTTCCTATTCCAATTCCAAAAATCATATGCACCGATACTGAGACCGAAGAGACGATAGTTTTTGACCCACGTCCTCCAAGGAAGAGAGATGCAAGGCATAAGAGACACAAGATGCGTCGAAAACGAGATTCCTCACATGACGATTCGTTTGATTCTGTCAAAGAATCGTACAAGGACAAACTGAAACATTTCAGAGCTTATACAAGTATGGATACATCAAGTTATGAACACGATGAGAATAGACCCAAGAGACGCCCACTTCCCAAAGGCTCGCCTCCCCCTCGACATAAAGCAGAAACTAAACCTAAAATGCGTAACAAGCAAGTTGAAACTTTATCAAAGAATTTCGATGAAAGTTCCTTATCATCAGATGAGCTCCCTATGGAACAAAGTCCTGTAAAATGGAGCTTAGGGGGAAGCGCAAGTGAGTGTAATTCAGGCACTGAAAGTCCTCAGGTAACCCAGAATCAATCACCAGAACGCATGACGTCACACAGAGTGCCGATGGTCATCTTACATAACAACCCATCTATTGATACGTGTCCTACAACCAATCCCCCAAGAGAGGGGTCTTCTCAATATACCTCACGGGAGAGCAGTATGGATGAAGACGATATTAAATCCGCAAGTGATCTCTCAAGTGAAAACCCACCAAGTAAATCAACTTATAAGAAACCGAAATCTAAAGATGGCAACATTGTGGACAGCCGTCGAAATCTGCAAGCCAAACGACAGGGAACTCTTCAACGGCAGGTATCCGTACGAGACGAGCATCAACCTGATAATAATATGCTAAAAGTTCCATCATTTGATGAAATTACTACGAGTAACTACCCAATTGTTGTACCTATATATTCCGAGGTACCCAGTCACGGAAGGCATTTTGGACAAAGGCGAGTGAGTGAATCGAATGACTTCACACCGGAAACTAGTATTGAAGAAGAAGACGAGGATCAATTGGAAGAAGATAGGCGCGAAGACCTAGTAAGTGACGGAAATAGGAGTGATAATGAGAAAACACATTTTAGTAATACAGATGAATTTGAGAGAAGTGATACACGTGTGAAAGATGGTAGTGGAAAAGCAAATATAAGTGAGTGTAACGAAAATAATAATGTATATGCAAAGGATCGGTTGCAACGAGATATGTTAAATAATGCTGATGGTGTAAGGATACAAAAGTATGCAGTAAATGATACACAGAATACGATTCCAAATGATTCCAAATCAATGAAAGAACGACGGAACAGTGTTAAGTTTGATAATGACCACGATAACGAGTGTATTTTTGAATTTGAAGATAGTGACGTTACAGAAAACAGGGAAACTATTTCGACTAAACATTGCGAAACAGAATGCAAATGCAAATCTGTGTCACCATGCGGCACATGTGACAAAGATGACGTCATCAACGTAACAAATTCAAAACACTTATGATTGGTTGTTTAGAAGACACATGTAATCCCGAGCATGCCCGCGTTTCTCATATCATGAACACCCTTCTGACTGCCATAAAATGTAAACCTCACTAGAATTAACAATTACGACAACTTTTACGACATTGCGACACATTTACTTTCCCTAACAGAACTACTGGTATTTGGCCAATGTAAAACATATTAATTTGCTAAAATATACAAAGATACAGGGTGACCCAATAAAACGTTACCCCCCAATTTTGGAATAACTCGATGGAATCTGTGATTTTTTCTGTGTAGATAGAGTGTTCATTTGAGAAAACAGCGGTATACTTATATTGCATATATGATATCGAGATGCATAGTATCCATGTTTTCCGTCCAGATGTTCTCAAGTGCAAATGTTCAAATATTTTCAAAAATACTGAAATAAGGATTTCTGTCAGAACTATTTTTGATGAACTGACTTGTTCATTTGGTAGATTTTAAGATAGACAGATTTTCTAACTTAAACGTTTGAGTGGTTTGGCGTAAGAGGGAAGACAAAGCATGGTATCTCTTTTATAAGTTGACAATGCCCTGCAAGGATATCGATGTTACATGCATTAAACGCTTTATCTACACAACAAATCACGAACATTTCCTCATAGTTAAGAAAGTTTAAAACAAGAGGGTAATGTTTTGTGGACTCATCCTGTATATCCGTGCTGCCATCTTTCTATCCAACTAGTACACATTGTTTACAGGTTAGGCAATAAATAAATGAGTGGTCGATTTTGTATCGCCATTTTCAAACCATAGTTGTTATAAATTGAAAGCCCATAGTGAGCAACATTGTTTAGATACATCGCCCCTAAACAATTTTTTTACATTTTTATACTCTCATCCAATGATGTATGGCCTTTTGAAAATGCGACTTAATTTTGACGTGGGAAATCATCACTTCAGCAAATCTATGACCTATTATCTATTGCCGAAACTGTATATAATTCTCCCAAAATTGTCCCCTTTGTCACTAAACAGCCACCAATAAAATATTTGACGCTGCACTTAATTTACTTAATACCAAACAGGTTTTACTGTTTTATGGTCTTAGAATATATGTACATGTATAGTAATTATCGAAAATTGACCGCAGCCTTAACAAATAAATAACAATAAGTTTGATATAAATAATGTTTTTGTTGCTATTTATCAAAGTATATTTTATAAAGTAATTTAAAATTGTTACATTACAAATGTTTTGATAACTCGTCGTACTTTGGCCTTAGTACAGCATCACGTTTTGTGCTCAAAGTCAAGAACATAAAATAGTTTATCTATGTCACACAGGAAAATAAGGAACTTGCAACATTACATGCAGATGTTTTACTTACTTAAAACATTTGCGTCCTTCTTTGTTCCTAAATACTAATGTAAATGAGTACATGTTTTCGACAATGCCTGCAGTACTGAGTATGTCTTTGAAAATAGCGTACTTACACAGAGTGCGACAGTTGATTCATACGCATTTAAGGTATTTTTCTTTGAAAAAGAGGTATAGAAATCGAGGTGGACTAGAGGGAGAAAAAATAATGTTCAGTCAGGTAGGTCTTATTAAAATCATATTTCGAAAACATGAGTAAGTTTAAAAACTTAAAACATAGTGTTTTCTGAACGCATCAATTTTTTAAATCATATCAAGTGAAGGTTGTTTTTGTTCGAAAAATCGGTAAATAAAAACTCACTCATGCATGAAATAGGTCAGTAAAAATGCATTTTAAAATGGAAGATATCATTTTTTGTTTGAGCTTGTACATTAAATCGAAACGCCAACCTATACGTATGACCAATCGCACATACAAATATATCGCTTAATATTTTCCGATCAAGTTAAGGTTGTGAAAAACATTGCAAGCTTAAACTCCCCATTACGTGCTTTTTCAACCTAGATGGACATTCAACATTGAATTATTATGAAACTTTTTAAGAAAAACATATTTAGAAAATATTGTCATTGATTTTTTAAAAATGTTTCTCCATCATAAATGGCATCACGATGATGTCATTTAGGCATTTTTTAGTATGGTAAATCATTAAAGTGATAAGTTCAATATGACATTTTATAATTGTAATAGTGTGTCCTTTGCTCAGCCTTTACAATTGTGTTAAAAATAAAATGTGATTTGAACTGTGTAACGGAATATTAGATGGGAAAAAAGTCAAACGTTTATTTGAAAATGGCGGGAAATTTAAATATTTGAAAATAAAAAGCTGATAACTGTTCCCCTTTTTTCAAAAAACCTCCAAAATAACTTTTTAAATCATGATCAATAGTTAATGAATGACAAAAACATTTATTCAAACTTTGCATGGAACTTAATAACACACAAAATGACGATGTAAATGTTGATAGGCTTCGATGGCCATCCAATGAAAATGTTCGATTGCCAGGCTTAGGTAGCGGAGGTGTTTATAATGCGACTATACGAATATCATAGATTAAAAAAAATGTTAGTTATTTTTGGGTTATAAGTATTTCTGTACTTATTTGTAGCATTATGTCGATATGGAGAAGGTTAATGCTTTGATGGGTATCAAAACTGGGGACAAAATCCTAACAATCGCTGCAAATGGAGCTCACGCACTGTCTAAACTGCTTGCCGACCCCGCAGAAGTCATCGCATTAGATGCCAGCGCACCTCAACTTCATATGGCAAAGCTACAAGCATCAGCTATGAAGCTCCTATCCAGAGAAGAATTTTGCACGCTAATTGGCATCGACAGAATGCGTATTCCTTCAGAAGAAAGAATAAAAATGTATCGGGATATTAGATCTTCACTTGAATCTGAAACAATGGCATATTGGGATGCGTTTACTAAGGATATTGGTGAAGGATTTCTATATTGTGGGGAGTATGAAAACGGCTACACAAACTTACTTAAAGATATGATACCGTCGATCCATGATAAAGCAACTGTTGAAGAGTTTCTAGCATTAGGAGACAATATGGAAGAACAGATTCGATATTACGAGGATATTTGGAGCACGTCACAATGGTGCGCGGTGTATAAGGGCATGGCGAGAAACGCTTTCTTCTCAAGAGCAAGCACTGCGTTAAATATCGATTTTTCAACTCTTTCGACATATCTTTTAAATCAGTTCGAAAAAATGATAAGACATACACCAAACAAGAGGAACGAATTCCTCGAAGCATTCCTCACTGGTGATATCAACGGGTCCTGTAAACTACATGCCTATCTTAGAGAAGGCAATTTCGAGTTCATTAAAAGCCGTTTAGACAGAATGAAATGGATTGAAGGAGACATAATCGAATTTGTGCGTGACCGTGCAGCTAAACAAAACTTTGAGAGATTGGATGGAATTAACCTTTCCACTGTACCCGTATATTACAAAAAGTTTCCTGATAAAATATACAATTTGATGAAACAAGCAGTTGAGATTTGCAAACCAGGCTCAAAGCTAGTCTATTATGCAGCATATGAAGAGCTGAACAATCAGTTTCCTCAAAAAATGATTGAAGATGGTGTGTTAACATACAATGGACAAGACCTATCATGTGGCATTCTTATTCCAAGATATGCAACCGTTAATTGACCAACACGCAAGATAAGCAAAAGACGAATGGAAATGATTTCTCCCTCTGGGAGGCGGAGACGCTCCTGGTTCGGCCTAATTTCATGATTACATGCAAGACTTATATGAGATAGAAAAACACATATTCATTAACATAAATATATCCCGCAACGCATCGCTTCAAGTGGGACACATTTATATTGGTCCGTTGATTAAACTAGATCCCCCAACATTAAAAGCATGTTTTTTCGTATTGTTAGGACGATTAAAGATTATACTGATATCAAGCTACAACCCTCACAAAATGATACAAACAAATGAGTCAAACAATATTTAAACATGAAATCAAGCCCAGACTATACAAAGACTATGCTTTTTGTAGGATGCTTTTTGTTTCATGTCAAGTAATCAGGGCGTGAAGTCGGTGACGACACGATAAGACACTGAAGAAGAACGTCAAATAAAGCTGAAATGATGTGTTTAAAATCAGACCCTGAATATTTCAATTGGGGAAAAAACGGATGTAAAAAATCTGTACCTTGAATTTGAGCTCTCCAACACGAGATAAGAATATTGTTGTCATTCTGAACTATCGCGTATTACGCCCATTCTCAATAAGAATGCAAAATGGATGTCCCAGGGCTCAATCTCAGCATTTACATTACCAACATCACTTTTTGTTGTATATATAAATAGTACATATGAGCCTCTACCTAGCACATATGTAATATATAATTTCTCAGTTACACCTATTTTATTATATGTACTAGAATAGGGCTATTCATCAGTTACGTGACTGTCGCCATATCAAAAATCAGGATTGTATGGTGCCATTAGAACATTTTTCATGCGTAACATCCCATATAAAGTGGTGTTTTATACACAAGACGATCCCAGCTTCTGGTTAAATGACAGAAACTATCATTTTGACATTTTTACCATCTTGAAAATGTTCCTTGACATATGTCGCCAGACTTTTTTATATCAACCCCCTTGTGCTATAAATCATATAAAAACTGGTGAAAAATTAATGTTTTATATGTTTTATATACGTATCTGGATTCCAATTTGAATACTTAATAGAACGTCGTACAAGTTGATATTTGAAACGTTGAGTTTTGGGGGCCAGAAAATTATAATTCCCGTTTTTCATGAAGTTATAGATAAGAAAATCATTTACGTGATCATAGTTTCCACAGGCAATAAGTGTCTGAGCATATTAATGTTATATCACCTTATTGTATGGTAGGAGTGACCCTGGCTGATCAGTATTTTTAACTAAATTGACATTGTTTGAATATAATACAGCCAGCAAAAGGGTATTTGCATCATTTACAACACCATCATTTACGATACCTAGTAGTACGAAAATAACGGTTACCATACTCCTAGCTCTGAATAAAGTTTATAAAGCGGGAAATTTGAGTATCCATATTCATTTGAATCTGAATAAAGAAACACTTCCACCTTTTTAGAGTAAATCCACACAATTTAAGGTATATATCACACCTAATATAGTATCTCTCTTGTTAAAAGAAGATGTAGTGTTAATTTGATGTTATCTATGGCATAAACACAGTCGGTATAAATGTGAAAATGAACATAAAAACACTTTTCTATCATTAATTTTGAAGTGAACCTATAGTCTTGCGTTTTCTATGTCATAAATTACGTTACCGATGGTAACGTAATTGATAAATTCTATTGCACACATTTTTTATCGTCAAATCTTTAGTAATAATTACAGATATGTTCATTTATCAACTTGTACTTTTCGTAGATGGGAAAGCATCCTGCTGAAATTCAAGAAGACTATCGTGATAGGAAAAAAGCACCAAATAGAGCGTGCTCGGGTTCATAAATGCATTGTCTCAATAGCTGCGTGCACTATCTGAAAAAGATAAAGACCATAAAAGAAAAAAATATGTCATTGCGCCCGAGACATGTTACTGTATGTTAGTCTCAGATAGCGTAATAATACAGGAGACAAATCAAAAAGAAGTAAACTGTTAGCAATGACCCAAGTAATGCCGATAACAATGATTGTGACCGTGTTTATGACAGTGGTACAAGTAACACACAATTTATAGTTCATATTAATTTTGCCTGGAATTTTGCAAGAGGACATGCATGGCCCTTTAGAAAACGGATAAGTAGAACTTGGGGACGTACGTAGCCATACGAAAACAAAGCTCCCTGAACATAGATAAACAGGGAAAAACAATCACAAATCATTCCCAAGGATCTTACAGAAGCAGAGAAAAATAGAATGAAGGGTCCAAGCATGCCAAAAACACCAAAGAGTGCAGGGGAAAAGTGATGCGATGCAAACTTTAGCATAGTGATATCCCTAGAGTTGAGGAGAAGATTAGTACGAGAAAAACAAGTAGTTGAAGAGGCGAAGCAGACGCAACATGACTGGCGGGGAAATGCCTGAAAAGTGTTCAAGTCTAGTTGATATAATATTACTAAAGGAGATGGAAGGTGATACAAGCTTAAGGGCCTTGCCTGGATGGACAAATATGAAATGAGTACTCGACGTTTACCACAAGCAAAGGGATATTTTGTTGAAGCAAATAAACAGTGTTAAAAGTGCACCGCACAAAATGAAACGAACCAGGAATGACATACAAGAAGAGACAACCAAGGGTATTCTGACAGGGCCATCATGCAGACTGAGAGTGGAGATAATTATAAAGAGCTACATCTTGGCGATTTTTTCACTGCAGTTTACAATACTGTTGGTATGTCGAAAAGGCACTGCATGTGATACTGATGATGATAAATACTATTTTTTAGGAAAAGAAGAATCTCCAATGGTCTCTAGAATGTTACGTTATTTGGCTGAGAGTCTCAGATTTTGAGTGTGTAGTAGAGGAGTCAATCCCAACAGGGAAGTTTAAAGGGCTATTTAAACTCAAGATCTGTGTCCTGAGATTTAAACTCATGTTCTATGGGATCTATATGTCCAAGCTAGGATTTAGAAACGTTTTCAGGAGTTCATATGAACCTATGTTATAAGAGTAGACACTGAATGTTGTTACTTTTTGACGATAATCACAAATTATATAGTATAGTTTTGATCTTGTGATTGTAAGTTTTGTAATCACTTACGTTACAAAGGATTTAGCATTACAGATGTGTGAAGAAAGATTATGTCCCTTTAATCCTGTATATATTCATTCCAACATATAGCGTATGTGACAATATATTAATTCATTACGTGTTTTGTGCATAAATAATGTTTGTGTTAGCTTTAATGTTGCTATTGCAAAAGTTAGTTAATTTCACCATCATTTACGTTACATGATGGTCCAGAACTATGTTTTTTAAATGTTACTATTGGTTAAAATGTAGTGTAAACATGATAAAAAAAGCACCAGTTGATGGTTTAACCATGATCACATATGATATGACCCATTCTACGATGTTACTTTTTTTGGATCATATACGTTACCAAGGGTGTAACGATATACAAATCTCAAATACATTTTGTATGGCATATCAAACACCAAGATACAGCTATCATTTTATTCTAAACACTATTTCTAATCAGAAAAGAAATATAAATTTAATGTTATCAAACGGAGTTTTTATAAAATTGGAATGACATGTAGCACTTAGGTTTTGTTTGTGAAAAGGAATAATAAGTCACATGCAATTGTTGACTTCAATGTGAATTCTTTCCACTTGTGTATATTCAAATGCCTGATGTATGATTTAGTATTAGGGCAAATATATCCTTATTGTTAGGTACAAAAACAGACTTGAGAATAATATGTTGAATGAAAATATATGTCGCTTGCTTCGACAACCCTCTATAGAGACAGAGACTTACATTTTTAAATGAATACTAGATAAGCTTCAACATGTGACTTTTCCATGAAGGGGTATGAGATTGATGAAGATATTTTCACTTTAGATACTTAACATATATTCAAATAGAAATACATCAACTTTAAACCATTTAAAGCTACTTTAATTTTTGTCAGATTCATACCTGGAATTTGCATTCTTATTGAGAATGGATGATTAGTCTATTAATTACGAACGTATATATATGGGGTATAACCATGAGGTATTGCTCACTTTGTTATGCCATATACACAAATACAATACGATATACTTAAAAAAATTAAAATAATTCCGAACATGGTTTCCATCAATAGTTATGAGGTGTGAAACAAGGGTCCATATGGCAAAACCGGTAACTAAAATTCTTTCCAAAGAGAAAACCCCCTTTGTGAATAACTACACAATTTACCAATATGAAACACTATAGATCTTGCTGTAATTAACTAAATCCATTTGAGAAAAAGTTATTTTGAATGTTAATATAGGCGTACTCAAATTATAATTTTGATTTATAATATTGCATGTTTTTATAAATCTAGTAAAATAACTAAAATCGATTGCAGAAAACAAGATTTGTTCGATTCATTTACTAGTACAGTGTTGTAAATGAGCAACAATGGAGGAGGTTCGTAAAACCTAGCATTTCTCAAAAAGTTTCTAAATATTAACTTTCTTTACGATTTGCACACTTTAAAAGTACCATTGATATCTTCGATTTTTATCCCACGGAGCAAGTAAAAAGGAACATAAACAAAGACGGTTACAAAAATGATACCTACTATCCCACATAATCGACTGTCTAACACAAATATGTGCTTCGAAAGTATATTCTATCTGATATTGATATATGTTTTAAATATATACGAAACCACGCATCCTTCGTTATGTGATGTTGGATTTAGTCACATGACAAAACAGAATACTTTTATGACAAAACTGAATGACTTTCTGTCACTTTTGGTCATGCATGCAACTCATAAAACCCGCACATAAAATTACAAACAAACACAATCTCGAAAGTATTAAAGGCAGAATCAGATCTATAGGGGTGACAAAATGATATAAGCATAATGTACAATTGACCTACCAATCTAGTCATTACAATCTCAAATACAATATCTCCAGATTCATGATATGTTATAAAGTGGTGAAGTTATTACGGATTCAAAGTGCAAAAATGGCTGGAAAACGTTTAAATTCTTCAAAATAATAAGAATGGTAACCATTTCTTATAGAAAAATAATACATTATTGTAAAAATCGTTAGTTTTCCTGAGATAATTTTTCACTTTGGGGATTTTTAGAAAATAGACATGACAAGGAATGACATGAGCCAGAAATATTCTAAAATTGAAACAATTTTTTGTTGACCTGATCGCTAGATCTGATTCTCTCTTAAATATCAAATCAGGCCTTACCAACAACAATCTATTTTCTGACACAGAAAATATACGGTACAGTGTTAAACTGTATATCTGCTTTAAATGGGCATATTAGCCTTTTGCAGATTATTGATACCAAATGGTTTTATGTGACAGTTACATTAGCACAACACAACCAAATGATAATGACACACGAATACAAAACCCAATACTTCAATGTAACATGGTATCACTAATGCGGTAAAAACGGAATAAGAATGAGACGCGCAAGTCCACTGTCCGCGGTATTTTGTATTCAAAGATTGTTCGATAATTGGATTTTGTTTGTGTCAAAAGTGGATTTCATTTGATGCTTGTTGTAAATAT